GAGTCCAGGTAAATGAGATGTGTGAGCATATCCTGCTACTGCCCACTACTGTCTAACCTGCCCTCTGTCTGTGCAGAAGTCCTGTGTATATCTCTAGTTTTATTCAACCTGTCTCACCCATATCGTTGGCCCTACAATTGATATGTGTGTACTGAACATGTTAGACTTTTCTTTCTTGTTCTAATGAAACGCAACAGCTATCACACAGCATTTATACAGAACTATACAGAACTAGAAATAATTAAAAGTATATGAAAGAGGTCTGGTATAGTAGTGCAAGCCTTTATGCCCAGCACTCAGGGGGCAGGGACAGGGGCAGGGGCAGGGGCAGGGGCAGGGGCAGGGGCAGGGGCAGGGGCAGGGGCAGGGAGATCTCTGGAAGTTCCAGGTCAGACCTTTTCTAAACACTACCAAACCCAAACCAAACAAACATATGGATGTGTGTTGAAATTAGGTACCTGAGGGATATCTATATAAAAGGGGATGGCTCAGTGCCATAATATCTTCTCTACCAAGCATGAGAAGAAAGGCGGAGGCTCACTGGGGCTATGGTATGCATGGGGCAATCCACAGCAGTGAGGAAGGTGTGGTAGCAGGGGCTTGAGGGGCCTGGTAACAGGCAACAGAGAAACAGAGGCGCGGGCTGCAGCTGGGCAAGCTATAACCCACACATTCTGGCCCAGGAGCACAGTGGCGCCATGTCTGCCAAGTAGGCCTCAGGTTCCAAAGGTACTACGACCTCTCAACGGAGAACCAACAGCTGGGGACACGCCTCTAAACACATGAGCCCGTGAGAGACATACTGCATTCAAACAAAAACAAAACTGGCCCCACAAAGCCAAACACGTCTGCCCCTCCATTCTCTTCTGACACCTTGATCTCAGACAGCAAGTTCATCAAACCCACATGAAGATCACAGCTGCAATGCACCACTACAGAGCCTCCCAGTGACTCCTAACGCCGGCCTCTGCCCCTGAAAAGCTAAGACGATAGTGGACACAGATTGAGATCAACACATCTGACAAGAGGCAGCCCTGGTGCAATGTGGTAACGGCAGGGCATATGCTCTGCTGTGGGGATCTGGGGAGAGAAGAAATTCTGACTTCAGATTTTGGGAAGGTTGTCTGACGGCCTTATGGGAATAATGGAACCTTGATAATCCTCCTGGACATAATAAAAAAATCAGAAGAACCCCCCCCCAAAAAAGAAACACATGACAGAGAAAAGATACAATCAGAAAAAGTATGGGACTCTGAATGAGAAGTGAGGTGTAAAGGGAGAACTTCTGATGCTTGCTGGGGGACATCCATGTTCTCCTAGGAGCAGGCCTCTCTCTATGCTCACACTGAAATGCAGAATCTGAAATCTCAGAACACACATAGAACACAGCAGCTTCCTGAGCCTCCTGCAAACACAACTAGTGGTGTTCCTCTCTCCACAGAGATATGCTGCAAATGCTTAGGATGTGTACATTTCATTCTATTCTGTGCTTATTTTTTTTTTTTTCAGTTGGAACGCTAGACTTCACCGTATTCTTTGGTGTTTAGTTTTCCAGACATTTTTTAAAGTGAGGTAAATACACACAACATAAAATCTGCTGACCTAAGCAGGCTTGCCTGCACAGCATTAAACAGATTCACCACTAACTACCTTATTTTATAAAACTAAATTCTGTCCCTGTTAAACACCATCTTTGTGCTTCTCCTAAGACCCATGCACCGACCGCTCCACTTTCTATGCAGCCAATTACTCTGCTCACCTCTTTCAAGCAGAATCATAAAATATTTGTTCTTTCCGAGTAAATTAGTTTAGTAATGTCCATAGGTTTTAATACTATGTAATATGCATTAGAATGTTATTCATTTCTGGATCAGTTTCTAATGGTACTTTCCTAATGCAGGTTAGCCATATTTTCTCATAATTCGTATGACTTTGACACTACTTATGCTTATTTCTGATATGCAAACTCTTATTTTAATTTACCCAAATGTATCAACTTTTCAAAACAATTCTAGATTTTGGGTCACAGTGTAAAACTCTTGGAAACAGTTCATTATTATAAATGTCTTCTTCCAGTATTGGAACCATTTTTAATTTCTTTTTTAATCAATTCTTTACTTCACAAGCTACTTAAGAATAATTATTATTACTAAAAATTTAGCAATTTCCAGGAAGTATTTGTTATTTCTTTCCAGTTTAACTGTACTGTGGATAGAGAACATGTGAATGGAATTTCTAAAAAATCTACTAACATTTGTTTGACCTATTTTAATAAATTTCCCACATACCCATAAATATATTTTACATTCTACTGTTGAATGATATCTTCTACAGCTGTCAGTTCAATTGGCTTCAAAGATAATCTTCAAGGCTATTATGTTCCTACAGATTTTTTTATACCTGTTAAATTAATTACTATGAGGGTACTGAAATTTTCAAAGACCATTAAGAATCTGTCTCTTTCTCCTGTGGTCCTAAGAGTTGGCCTCGGGCATTTCAAAGCTGTTGTTTAGGTACAAGCTTATGCTTGAATGTCCTAACAATAAATTTACCCTTTCGTCATTATCTCCTGAAACCGACTTCTTGTGATACTGTTATAAGCAACTTCACTTTTACTTCGTCTTAGCCTAAGGCATATTTTTCTATCTTCTTACTTTTAAACTGTAAGTAGTTTTAATGTGTTTTGTCATAAGCACCATATATTGAGATCTTACTGTGTATAGCCTGACAACCCTAGCCTTGGAATTGGCATGTGGATCATTTACATTTAAACACAAGTTATTAAGTGGTCGCTAAATTTAGGTTCCAAATGACTGGAGCTATTGTGGTAGTCTAATTCTTGTTTATTTGTAAATCTATACTGCAGTTATAAATAAATATATAGGATTCCATTTAAAGAATATATACAATGGCCTGGATTATACCCTACTGTAGAATTTGGTGTAAGGTGTCCTTTTGGACTGGACCTTTTGACTTGCACTGTAACTGCCAAGAAGGTCTGAGGAAGCCTGGTGGGTTTCCTCCACACAGTTCCGAGCACAGGAGAGACAGAGCAGCCGCTACGGTGGGATGTGCAGCTCCACTGACACCCTCAGTGACCAGAGCAAGAGCCAGTCAAGCGTTCCTTCCCTTGGAGTTTTCCTTTGCTTGATTTTGGAGGGTTTCTATATGAAAAGTTTGCTTCCCCTACCTTCCCATTTCTTCTTTTATATGGAGTTCTTAGGTTCTTTCTGTTCAAAACAATGTGCTGTTTCCTTGAACCAGATACACAGAGGGGATTCCATTCTCATGATGGGAACTGGGGTCTGTTCTTAGTTCCACAAGGCCCCTGCTCAGCAATCAGCCATGCGCCATAGGCACTCTGCGCTGCTGGTGTGGGGCTGACTCTCCTGTGTGCCCCAGGGATGTCTCACTTCCTAACTACACTTCCTCACTAGTTTCCCAAGTAGTCACCCCTGTCACGTTCCCAGAGTCCCGTGGTGATTAGAGGGCTACCCTCACCAAACCCATACAGAGGGCATGTGACCCTACGTGAAAACAGCCTTCTCTTCAGAGAACAAACCCCTCTGACATCAGTGCTCCAGGGTGACTTTTTCACCCCGTCCCTAAAACCAGCGTCTCGCAGACCCTGCTAGTCTGGAAGGCACCCCGCTTCGGGAGAGAGAAACCCAAGGGAGTATTTAACCATGCAGGAAAGAAGGTAACTCCCCATTCTCATTGTTGGCACATGTTGTTGGACGTCTGTCAGAACAATGTTCAGTGCCCACGGCCATCCTAAGGTGAGAGGGAATCCACCAACACAGCCATTCCCCTTCGCTGAAGGTTCGTGTGACGCTTCCTCCATGAGGGCTGACTAGGTTTCCACTCAGGCATCTCTACCCATGATGGCACACACACCCTCAGGGTCCTCAACAGTCCACACTGACTCTAACCTTGAGGTTATTCCCAACACTGAGAAAGCCACAAACAACACAAACTAGAAAAGAAAAAGAATCCCAATAGTTTTTAAGAATTGTAATGAAGGTTGGATTGATTTTTGTATTGAGACACACCTATTTGTAACAGCTTCTCCTATATGCTAAAATGTGTGCTACAAGCATGGGAGGATTTTTTTCATACTTTTGAAAAAGCACAGAAAGACCAGAGAGAATCAAGTGCACATGCTTCTTCCCATGTTTTCATGTACATCTTGGCATGTACTCTGTACCATGCACGTAAACAAGCAGCTACAAAGTGATACCCATCTCCTCTGCGGACCCTGAATGCCTCACAGGCGTCCTCAGCTTATGTCCTTACAACTTGCATATGAACTGTCAAATAATTTACCACCTGCAATTAGTTTTGCAAATGATAATGATCACAGCTTTATCTTGTACATGACAATGGTAAAAAAAAAAAAAATATCCAACCATGCTCGTGTGTGTGTGTGTGTGTGTGTGTGTGTGTGTGTGTGTGTGTGTGTGTGTGTAGTCATATAATAAAGTTCTTTATCAAAAAATAGGTTAACAGTTCAAGCTGTTTAAGTATTCAGTTCTTCCAGGGGTTCACGCTTTCGCAAGTCTCCGTATTAGCAAGCATGTGGGACAGAGCACACACAAGTGAAGGACAGCATAAATGCAGACACTTGCATGTAAACATGTTTTTATCCTCCCAGGAAATAAGAAACTAGAAGTGCTGGGCCCACACGTCATCAACTATTACCCGAAGCCAAGATTAAACCCTCTGCACCGTACTGTTTTTCTGACTCCTGCCCTGTGGGAACCGGATCTTATCAGCAGTGCATGTGCTACAAACCAAGGAGACGGCGCTGTACTCCACAGACACAACTGTCACCTGGGTGCGGATCACTAGAGCTTGACACAGTGTACAGCTCTTGCTCCATACCTCAGAGCTTCAGTGTGAATCTACTCTAGACTGAGTTAGTCTCTCTAAACAAAGGTCCACTACCTTAACTTACACAGATGCTCAATATCTTTATATTAACCAAATATTTAACTTACCCTGGTAAATGTTCCTTCAAAACTATGAATATCCAGTTGTGGCTTCTGAGCATAAACATAGGCACTGATAGAAAATAGGTCCTGGAACACAAAAAATAAAAATGAACATCAATCTTATGACTGAACACACATGGTCGCAGCAAATGGCAACACGTGACACTTCCATGCCACACACCACCTTTAGACACAGGGACTTAAAGAACAAGCTAGCTAGCAACAGCCCTCATTTCCACATGCACATGAACATTTACAAGCGTGTGTTTCATTTAGTATATTAGACATCAAATGACTGAATAATGGCATCATAATGAGAGTGTCATTGGAAGCGTTTCATGATAATTTAAAAATCATTCTCAAGTTTTCAATAATGTAGGAAAGACTCTGCTATTAGGTCAAGGGCAACATTTGTTTGCATTACTTAAAGGTCATTAAAATACATCCTTAATCATAACATGTGTTTCATTACAAATAAAATTGCTTCTTGTTCAATAAAACTAATTAAATGTAAATGGTATTGTTTACTGCTATATGGATCTTTTGAAATAAATCAGCAAGTCATGATTTATTGAAAATTCTTGGGCCTCATGGTTGTTAATAAATTTGCTTGATCACAAAAGCCAGAAGCATGTTTTCCAAATGTCTACAGTGTCTAGAAAGAGCTCTGCAGACAGTGCAAAGGCAAGTGGAAGCCACATCTGGGTCAGCAGAGCAGCAGAGCAGACGTGGTCACGGGATCCCCAAGCTCCATGCTCTGACCACACTAAAGAAAAGCAAAGGCTCTAGCACAAGCAGGTTTGCCTACCCTACACCACACTGTCAGGAGCTGGGAGGGCAGTCCTGGTGATGTGACACAAAGTGTCATCTTCAAATCCACCACTCACGGAAAAAGGAGCTGAAGCAAGGAACGGCTATGGCATTGTAAACTATGAAGCCATCACAAACTGAAGTGCCTGGCCACAACGGAACCAGAGCTTTCTTTTCTATGTGTCTAGCTTTATGATGGTCTGTGGGGAGGAAGGCCAGTTCTTTTCTAGGGAATATTATTAGTTTACCACCGCATATAAAATTAAAATGTCTTCATTAATTATAGGATTATTTCAAAATAATTACTCAGAGTTCCTATTAAACCATATGAGGCATACAATTTGAAAGTAGCATTATATGAAATGTATCTCTTCAAGTATTGCATTATATGAAATATTTACCACACTACTTTAAACATAATTAACATATTTTCCATAATAAAAATGAAAAGATCTTCCAAATATTAAATATAATGAAACATGACTTCCTATGGTGATAAAAGTGATTCAAGGTTAGACAGAAAATTGTATACTGAATATTTTTATTTTACCAGCACATATATATACATATATATATATATATATATGTATATATACCACACATAATTAAAATATAAAACTAAATTATTTGATATAGACACACCCATATATATGTGTGTGTGTGTATATATATATATATATATATATATGATATAGACACACCATCACAATCAAGATATACAGCACTCCCATGACCTCCAAGTATGCCGTGAACTCCCCCGCACATCTGCATTCTCTACATCTACCTCCTGAACGTCCATCCATCCTTCAATTCATCCTTCCTTCAACTCTACCCTCCCCTCCACCTGCATTCTCCTCTACGACCACATTTCTCTAGATCCATAATATCTACTTCTCCCTTCCTCTACCTCCACCCCTGAAAGGGCCTGGGAGAGAAGAAGCCATTCTAAAGAGATACTTGTATTTTTAGACCTGACGATCAGAGTACAGAAACAATCAGACACCAAAGAAATGGGATTTTCCCCAGGAATCTCCCCGTGGGAGAAAAAAAAGGGTGTCAGCCAGAGGGGGGACCTGTCTCCTAGAAAAGACTTCAGTTTTATCTCCTTGTCAGACCACCTTATAGGGTGAGACCCACCAAAACTGGGACAATCATAGGTCAAGAGTGGTAGGCTAGACTGTACCTTCACTACAACTGCTTAGACGTGTGTGTCCTTGGCCCTCTATTGAAACTTAGATCTCATGTCAGAATCCCAATGATGGGGTTCCTTGGGAACCCCATTCCTCTGCCCAATGTGGCCACATTGAATAAACCTTTTTTGCTTTCCACTTTTAACTTGGCTCTTTTAATTGGTTATAAAGGCCAAGGGGCAAGACCTGACTTGGAGCACAAGTTCTAACCTCTAAGTTTGATAATAACTCTCCTCTACTGCCCGCGACCTCCACACTGGCCCTCTTCACTGCTGGAACAACGTATTCTTGTTTAGCTAAGTTTCCATTTTCTTCCAAATTCTTTCTAACAGGGTTTTTATCCTGCATTTTGTTTTCTGTTACTCTTAGCAAAAAAAAAAAAAAAAAAAAAATTATCCTAAAATTACCACTTAGTGTGGGCACTCCTGAGCTACCTACTGGCAGTGCACACCAGGGTTCTTGAAGATGTTCAGGGGGAAGAGAAAGAGAGTGGAGTCATCACCCCCTTAGAATGGTGATAAACATCCTCTTTACTTTCCTTCAGACACACTAGGAAGGAAAGAACACAAGGGCTTATGTGTAACCAAGAAGGAGCAACATTCACCCCACCAGGCTTACAAGTCCCTTCCAAGTGGAAATGCCTTTAGTTTTTTTCCTTCTTCTATCTCTTTACTGTGTGTATGCCAGGATACACAGGCCACAGCACACTGGAGAGGTCAGAGAACTTTCAGGAAGGAATTGGTTCCCTTTCCACCATGCAGACTACACAGGATTGCGGCCAGGTTAGCAGGTTTGGTGACAAACACCCTTGCTAGCCATCTCACTTGCCCAGGTCTATTCTTTTTAACAAAGTATGAAGGAGAAGAAGACAGTTGTCCTACATTTAAGATGACAGCACAACTTTATTTTGCAACATAAAAAAATAAACTGAAGGAAAAATGTGAATCCCTGAAAAGGAGGGCGAGCGTGGAAATGGCCTGAGAACGAGAAAGAAAGGAAAGAAACGAGAAGGTGGAAAGGAGCTGTTTGGCCTTCACTCCACAGCACACAGGAGGCTGACAGATTCCACTGTGTGGTTGGCTTCTTCATCCAAAATTAATGAATTCTCTAAGCAGTGTTAACTGAGACCTGCTTTTTCAGTGAAAACTGTAAAAATGGAATAAATCGGAAAGCAGCGTGTTCAGACAGGGATACAAGAACCCGAAGGACAGACGTACACTATGTGCCCTTTGTCAGGGAGCTCAAATTCACAGGACAGGCTCTGTCATGTCAAGCAGGGGAGGCAGGCTCTGGCCCAGAGAAGTGTTGAGGGTACTTGCAGGTGCTGGGAAGGAGATGGAAAGACACAACTGTAGGAGGCCGCTGCCCTCACTAACTAACACTCAACACAGGAGGCACAAACAATCTGGCCAGGCGCCATGTGAACCTCCAGATGCACCTTCCTTAGAAATTGGGAGCTCAGAAGACATCAGGACTTAAGAGGGAGAGCAGCTGAAGAGCTTAGTAGGCCCCAGAAGAAGCAAGTCCTAGCAGTGGGACTCAGCCAGCATTACAGCACAAAGGGAGCCACTCTAAAAATAGCTCTGCAGGTTTTTGAACCAAGAATAAGAGAAAAGAAGCCCTGAAGAAAAAAATTTCAGACATTAACTCTAACTTTTATAATACAGGTATTAAAACAAAACAAAAACAGTAGACATGCAAAAAGCAGTTAAGTGTGACCGCGTGACAAGTACAAAATTTTTCAAATAAGTGAGATATCCAAAAACGAACAGAGATGATGAAATGCCTAGCTGCAGAATTAAGTACCATGTTAAGTACCATGAACTGATGAAAAGATCCAATCAGCTCTATAGCTACTAAAGAAACTCAGTTCATAGTTAAACCTTTTCCAGAGAGTTTCAGAGGTGAAACTCCACACATAAAAACCAGCAGCACCTACCTATGATGACTATTTCAAAAACACAAGAGGCAAAGACTCCACACACTATTATAAGGCAGCAGAGTGGAATTTATCCCATCTTGAGGTTGGCACAAAAACAAAGCCAGTATAAAAGCAGGCAACATCTCCAAAGACACAGAAATGCCTCTGGAAATGTGGAGGACCCATGTTACTGTGAGGTCCCGGGCTATCCAACTATTCAGAAACCAGCTACAACCCCACTATGGGGAGATTTCTGGAGATGATATAAAAGTCAGCATCTCTCAGGAACTTGCGGACCACCTCCCTTTTGCAAAAAGGAATTTCCTCTGGCACAAAGGTTATATGGCTACTTAGGGCTGCATATCAAAGCCATGCTGACGACCAGGCCCCCTCAGAACCACAGGTGACCTTCCCACCTCCTCCTTACCCTCCAGCCTGGCTTCCCTCGGGAGCTGCTCATCCTCCTCCTAACCAGGCTGTTCCCACTCTGACATTCTTGCTATGGCCTGTCCTCTCTTGCTACCTCACCATCTGTCATCTCCCCTCTTCTCTGCAGCTCTTCCCTTTCTCTAGCCCTGGCCACGTCCAGTCTGCTGCTGTTCTCTCTCTCGTATCTACAATAAAAATTTAACTATATCATAGGGTAGTCATGTCAGCAGTTTCTACACTACGCCCCCTCACAAACAGTTACCAAGACTCTGAGCAAACTAGACTAGGAAAAACATCTTCAACCTGATCAAGAGCACCCATGAATAACAGTACTATAGCCACACAGAAAGTAGAATGCATCCCCTGGCCCCGACTGAAGAGTGAGGATGGTATCTCATTACATGTCTTCAATTGAACAGGATGGGGTGAGGACAGAGGTCAAGATTTAATGCTGGTCCTCAGTAGCTGTCTCTTTGTTCACCTCTGTCTGAAACATGGATTTTAGTGCACGCCTGTCTTTTTATATGGGTGCTGGGGATCAAACACAGGCTTAATCATCACAGGCTATGCTTACTCTCTACATTCTGATACCAAGCTTATGTCATCAAGCATGGAAGAATTGAGCTGGTGGCCAACGAGAAGCTTCATGGTCCTGGATGGCACCCTGCATGCTACTAGAGGAGACCCAGCTAGAAACCCTGCGCTCCTCCCCATGGGAAGGAGTAAGGAAGTCTGGTTAGGGTCCAGTTGGTTTTGGCAAAGATGTAAAGATATAAAACACTGAAGAAATGAACCTGAGCTTAGAAACTACCTTAAATATAGGAAACACTAAAATACCCCCAAAAGCAAAATTTGCCCAAGTCTCGGCCATCTGAAGCACATTTAACCCTGAGTCCGCCACACAGTGGAGGAAGAACCTGCTGTCTGGGAGGTCATAAAGGGCACAGTAATGCAGCCAGCCCTCCCTCCAGAAGTGCTTCTCCTCCTGACAATACCGCATCTCAAGCTTTCTTCTGTCCACAAAAGGCCAGCAAATTATGTAAGACAAAGTGTCTTGTGCCCAGATTTGCACTACATAAAAACTAACAAAAAAACAAGCATCAGCTGTTACAACTGTAGTTTGTTTTGAAGTAGGGAGGGAGGAAAAAAGGTGGGAGGGAGGGAAGTAACAGGTAAACTTACAGAAGAGCCTCTGACATGCAGGAGAGCCAATTGAGAAGTCACTGAATCCACAAACATCTATGACCCTCCTCTATCCCTCCTCCCAGGTTTCCTGGGTGTGTGGGGGGTATAACACTTCCCTCCACATGAAGGACAGCAGCACCCATGTCCAGGAGATCAAAGTCTCCTGTCCTCAGAAGGAAAAGCTGCAGGCAAGACTTAACTCAAAGACCAGGCTAAGTCAAGGCTGTTCTATTCTCCCAGAATACCTTACCCTGATTAAGTGAGCAGCCAGTCCTCATCAGCAGACTCACCTGCCTGTCACCCCAAGGCCTGAGTTTTACAGATGACTTAACTAAGAAGCTTGTAATAAATAAAAACATAGACAGTCTAAGTATCAAGTCAATAGCACATGCAAAATGACCTAAAACAGGCTACGTACTAAGAAACCACATCACCTTTGATGACCTTGGGGAAAATGAAAGGACACAGGAACTTCCTTAGCACCAAGAAGCCACTGCTAAAGACAGAGGGAATGAATGGGGCAGGAAGGAAGAGAGGGAGGGGAGGAGAGAGAGGAGAGTACAGTGCCCATTAGTGCTCACCCCTAGGGCGGGTAGCCGTTGTGTACAGCTCACGGCCACCTTCAGCTTCCAGTCGGTCTCACCATCTAGCTGGTCCGTGCGGATAAAACATGAACCTTGGAGGTAGAGGAGAAAACATCAGCATCTGGAACTGCATTAAAGAAGTGCTCTCCTGAGCTATAGTGTTTTCAAAGCAGATTTAGGCACAGTGGGACCCAGAAAATGACCATCTAAGTAATCCCAAGAACAAACAGCTTCAAAAGCCCTCATTTCATACGGTGTCACTTGGCTCAGGGAATAAATCGATCTATTTTTCAATCATTTGTGTCCCGTTTGGTGCCTTTGCTTTTGTTGTAGTGGTAGTGCTGGTGGTGGATGTGAAATGTCTATGTGTGTTCTGCATGGTGCTGTGGCTCAAACCCATGGCCTTGAGCATGCTAGACAAGTGCCTACCATTGAGCTACAACCCTTGCCCATGCCTGTTAAGCTTTAGTGTCAACTACTACTTTATTTCAGAAAGTTATCTAGATCATTTCTAGTTTTAATCTATGTTTTGATGATGACAAGATAATAAGATACATACAAAAATATCTCAGAGCCTGACATTACGTTGGTAATAAAATGTTAATTGACCAACATAAATGTTCAGTAATACAAGCACAGCAAAATGCTAATACCCAGGTAAGTGCTATTGCATAATAACAAGCCCATCAAATTTCAGAAGGGGAAAAATTTGAATCACAGCAATCTAATTACCCCAGACCATACTCATAATCCCTTCTCTCAGAATTGATCCTAGGGAAGAAAAAAAAAAAAAAAAAAAAAAAAGCAAACACAAATGCGCTAAATGATACACACAGAACATTCGCTGTCACTGTTTACAATAACGAAAGGCTGACACAGGGATTATTAGAGACCCAGTGGAATAAAACAGCAGAGGCAGCAATTAAAGGAGGACAAGAGCAAAGTGCTCAGCGTGATGAGATCATCTGTAGGACACATTGTTCAGTGGGAAAATATGGTACACACATAACCATACACACAGGGGTGGGGCGGGGGAAGAGGGGGCTAAGAGGAGGGGGTGGGTGGGGGGGAGAGAGAGAGAGACTTGTCTGAGGCTTGGGGGCACACACTTGCAATGTCTGTACTTGGGAGGTAGAGACAAGAGGATCTGGAATTCAATGGTATCCTCAGCTACACACAAAGTTTGAGGACAGTTTAGGCTACAGGACACCCTGTCCAGGGGGGAAACTAAAACAGGGCAATGCACATGCAATCATTGTTTGTAAAGTGGGATATCATTGCAGTAGTAACTGCTTGCTTGGGGGGGGGCTGACAAGCACTGACATAAAGTGGCGTGGCAGTAAAGGGAGAGAGGAAAATAGGGTACTGTATATTATCTGCATGTCCATATCTGTGTGCTGTTACATAACTACAAGTGTGCATGTTTGCATCCTTTTGTAGCTTTCTGTGTGCACGTATCTTTTATATGCATTCAATGCAGTCTTGTGCATCCACAGATATTTGTTATCTATTCATACTTGTGTTTCTGTGCTCTATGCATAAGCATACCTGTATGTATATCTATACATATGCATGGTTACACACATGTACAAACACAGCTATGTGAAATATACCTATATAGGGAAGAAAGGACTAGCGGAATAAATAGCACAGATGCTAGAACCTTCCTGATCATCCCTACAACATTCATTTGGAAATCATATGTGCATCACACAATTTAAAGAACAAATTACGATAAGCTTGTGATAAAGCAATTCTGAAGCAATAAAAGAAGTACATAAAATATAACAAATTCAGGGCTGGAACTACTCACACTGCACTTGTTAGGTAGGTACAAGGCCTTTGATTCAATCCCCAACTGATGGGAGGTGTCATTCTGTAAATATGTTTCTCATACTGGTTAATGAATAAAGCACTGTTGGCCAATAGGAAAGCAAGATAGATGGGACCAGGAGACAAGGAGGAAAGAGGAAGTAGGAAAGAAGAGTCAAAATGGAGAGTCTGTAGAAAGCTAGACGCCAGGCGGATCTCCGAGGGTAAGAGGAGACCACATGGAAATACATAGATCAGCAGAAATGGATTAATACTTAAGACAGAGCTAGCCGATAAGAAACTAGTACCGGGCCAACGACATTATATCAAATACAGAGTCTCAGTGTGTTAATTGGGGTTGGCGTGGCGGCGGGACAAGACCAGCTGCGGGAGGAAAAACCATACTCCTTACACCCAACACCACAAAAAGCAAAGCAAGGAATCATTAAATTCATACTTTAATCATAGCAAATGTTTTTAAGTCACTTACAAACTCGCTATGCCCATGTATGTTATACTGCAATATGAAAAGGTTATGTACCTTGTAAACGACTGGAAGTCAATTAGAAGTCCTTCCATCCACCTCTCCCCAACCCTGCCCCTCACTCCCCCAGGAAGGAACACTGCTGATCCCTCTTCCTCCTGGCACCTGTTCTCAGCATGGCGACAAAGTCACTGTTCATCTTAAGGCTCCATCTACCTCTCCCTAACTAGAGCATCTACTGAAGGTGTGGGTCTATACTCTACCGATACCATTCACCGGTGTGCTAAGCCCATCTTACAAGCAAACATGTCATCCTTTGGTGCAGAGGCACTGGAGTAGCCTCTGTTCTGCCCTAGGCTGAACCCGGTAGTCAATGCCCAGTGCTGCAGCAATGGAGGACACAGCTAGTAAGGTCTACCTCTCCTGTTCACTTGCAGCTGCGATAAAACCCAAGTAGAGATTTCTGTCCCTAGGATTCCACTGGCCCTGAGGTATCACCCTAAGTGGCTTTTCCTTCTTTACTTACAATGTTTCAAGACAAGGAGCTTGAGTACGGGGGAGAAGAGGAATGAGCTACCGCACTTAAGTTTTATAGAATGCCATCATTGTCATTTTATATAATCTTAAAATATCTTGCATGTTCGGTGTCCCTGAGCCAGAAAGGTGTTGGCTCTGCTGAAGGACGCTTGTTTCTGGAGACTCCTTTTTGCAGTGTGTTGCAGTCCCTTCTCAAGGCTCCTAAGAGCCTAGCACAAACACAGCTTCTCAGCCCTGAGACTGACCCAGGAACTACTTGAGGAGTTTCTATACATGCTGCCACCTTTTAAAAGCTGGCTACAAAGCTTCCAGCTTTCCCAACACTACGCCTGTTAGGCATGAACTTTGCCAGGCCTCCAGTCTTCAGGAAAAGTACAGACGCCTCATCCTCAGTATCTGTTTCTCCCTCTGAGCAGATGCTCTGGGCCTGCAGAACACTTGCTCTTCAAGTGACCCCACAGTGTACTTAGTATGGTTGTTTGAATCAGAATGGTCTGTAGGGAACAGTGCTACTTGACAGAGATCAGGAGGGGTGGCCTTGTTGGAGGAAGTGTGTCACTGGGGGTGGGCTTCGGGGTTAAATGTTCCAGTCTCTCTCTCTCTCTCTCTTCCTGCTGGCTGTGGATCTGAATGTAGACCTCTCAAGCACCAAGTAGACTTCTCTAGCACCATGTCTGCCTGACTGCCACCACGCTCCCCAGCATGACAACAATAAACTCCATAAAGCTCTGAATGAACTGTAAGCAAGTCCCAATTAGATTCTTCCCTGGAAAAGAGTTGCTACAGTCATTGTGTCTTCAGAGCACTAGGACACTTGGGATAGCAGCGCCTTCACAGATCCCCTTCACCCTGCTGAGCCTCACTGGGGTGACAGAGCTGTGAGCCTGAGCGGCTCCTAGATATGACTAGGAGCGAGCAGCAAAAAGTTGGTCAAGTGTCTATCTCAAGTCTACTTCAACAGGGCATCTGAAACTTGGGTCTGGGGAAAGCATAGGCCAGTTCCTCCTAGTTGGGGCCTTTGTCTTAACCTGGGAGCTGCAGGCGCCTTGAGAGTTGCTTAACTCCTGGCTACAGGGGTCTACAGTAGATCTCAGCTGCCACGGACTCGGTCTATTCTTGGTAGGAAAAATGTCTCAAAAATACTGAAACAATTTCTCTCCAAAGATATACAACTGAACCTTTGAGATGAGCACAAGGCTTCTCTTGAGCAAAACCCAGAAGCCTTACTTTAGGTTTCAACCAGCGACAATTTACACTTGGCAGCTTTAGGTGACACTCGGTTTCCACAAGATCCCATGCTGAGGATGCTCCTAGAATCTAGTCACATGAAGATTTAGATACTTTCAGCAAGCTACAACACAGAAGAGTAACCATATGTTGGTTATTGTTCTCATTGCTGTGAACAACACCTATCACAATTACAGGGAGCAAGACATACGCTGACTCACGGTTTCGTCAAATTTAATGCGTGGCTATCTGGTCTCATGCCCTAAGGACAGCAAATCATTACAGCAGCAAGACGGTACGGCAGAAGACAACTGGTCATATGACCAAGGACAAGCAGGGAGAGAGAAGCGTTGATGCTAGATATGACTTGAACTTCCTTTTTCCCTTTGGGGGTAGTGGGTGAGATATCACTGCCATTTAGGGTCAACCTTGTTGGAAATGCCCTCACAGGTGCACTCAGGGGCATCCCTCACAGTCTTTGAGGTGATCTAAATTCTGTCAAGTTGTAATGAAGGGTTAACCACAATAGACCCACAAACACAGCTTCAGGATCCCCACAGAGCAACACAATGCGGAAGGGAGAATCAGACACCCTGGAGCCCTGACAATGCACTACCTGTTGCGTCATGTAAGCTTACATTTACGTTATGAAGCCTTGGTTTTGTTCTTTTTTTTTTTTTTTTTTTTTTTCTTCATCTACACAATGAGAAAAGTATCTTTGAAATTATGCTGAAAAACATATAGGAAAAATTTCCTCAAGTCTGTCAAGAATGTATGTTATATGAACTCATTAACTGATTGTTTGTTACTTTTATTATTTCTCAAATCTGAAAAGATGAAAGTAGATAAGACTATATCTTCTCATCGCTGCATCTAATAACCCTTTCTACACAACCATCTGAAATGAAGAGGTCATGAAAGCCCACACCTATGATCACCTTGTTTCTCCTTGACTGCTAGAGAAGAAGCAATGTCTGTACCACGCTAGCGAGTATCTCATGCTTCTACTCTGTATAAAGATCATTTTGTTGT